TTTAAAATCAGAAATTTCTCCTACTTTCTACATGCAGCATAACACTCCTGTAATCCCAGGGATTTGGGAGCCTGAAGCAGGAAGATTGCAAGTTCAAAGCCAGCCTTAGCAACTTTAGGGAGTCCCTAAGCAACTTGGTGAGACCCTGTGTCAAAACAAAAAATGAAAAGGGCTGGGATATGGCTCAGTGGTAAAGTGCTCCTGGGTTCAATCCCCAGTACCAAAAAATAAATAAATTGATTAATTAATTTATCTACTACTTTGTATGCATTTATAATTTTAGCATTAGTTTTCATGTTCATTATTTATTAAAAGAGGGCCACCCTCCTCTTTTCAAGGCTTAAGACCTTTAAAGTTTAATGCAATCCTGCTGAGGAGCATGGGATTTGGTTTTATGTACCTGTTCCCCTTACTTTCCTCATTAATACTTTGTGTCACTTATGGTATTACTTTTTATATGTAAATGTACAAAATTATACAGTTTAAATATATGCAGCTTATTGTAGACCAATTACCCCTTGATAAAGCTCTTAAGAACAACAAAAACATCTTTTTCATTTTCTTTTAAACTAGGAATTGAAATGAGGGAGCTACATCACAGTCCCTTTTATTTTAATTTTTAATTTTTTATTAGTACATTATAGTTATACATAATACTGGAGTTCATTTTGACATAATTGTATAAGCATGGAATATAATTTACTCCATTTCAATCCCTAATACTATTACCTATTGCTCTTCCTCTACTCTGTTGTCTTCCTTCTATTTATTAATTGATTTTTAAATTGGTGTGGTATATTCATATATGTATATAGCATAATTTGGTCAATATCATTCAGCAGTACCTCCCTTTTCCCATCACTCTTCCCACCACCTCAATCCCTTTCCTATACAGCCTGGACCTCTTCTCTATTTATTTGGGATCCACTCCTCCTCCATTCCCCCACTCTTATTTTGCTCTAGATTCTACATATGAGAAAAAAAAAATTGATCCTCACCTTTTGAGTCTTGCTTATTTCACATGGCATGATGTTCTCCAGAAAGAAAGTTTTTCATCCATTTACCAGCAAATGTCATCATTTCATTATTCTTTATGACTCAATAAAACTCCATTGTGTATATATACCACATTTTCTTTATCTGTTCATCTGTTGATGGGCACCTGGATTTGTTCCATAACTTGGCTATTGTGAATTGTGCTGCTCTAAACATTGGTTGTATTACTATAGTATACTGATTATAGTTTATATCAAAGAGTGTGATAGCTGGGTGGTTCTGATCCTAGTCTTTTGAGGTATCTCCATATCTCTTTCCACAGTGGTTGTACTAACTTGTAGTCCCACTAACAATGTATGAGTGTACCTTTTCCCCACATCCTTGCAAGCATTTATTATTCTTACTGATTGTGTTTCTAACTGGAGTGAGATGACATCTCAATGTAGTTTTGATTTGCACTTCCCTGATAACTAGGGATGTTGAACATTTTCTAAAATTTCACTAGGCACATTACTTTCTAATTTGTTTATTTGTGGTTGGTTTCACCTACTATGATATACAAGTTTTAAAACCAAGGATTTTTTTCTGTTTTTGTCATGTATCTGTCACAGAGTTGATATTTACATAGTTGAATTAGTAAATGAATGAACTCAGAATCCCAAGAATTCCCCCAGACAAACCAATTCTTATGAACTTCAAGCTGCCTTGAAGTGGGTCTAGTCCAGGATCCCCACTGAGAAAGGTGACTCATGGTTTCAGCTTTGTTACTCCAGCAAGTACAAAGAAGACAACAACAGGAGGAGCAGACAGCCTACTCTGAACTTGCCATTTGAGGTGTGAGTCCTGTTCATCTAAAAGGTTGGAGCTGCTCCATGATGAATAGGAAGGGAACTGGTTGCTAGGGCCATACAAGGCACTCCAGTCTGAGAGCCTGCCAGACTTCCCTCACAGACACATTTTGGACCTCATCCTGGACCAACTCCTATAGGTTCCTGAACTCAGTACCTCCCTGGATACTTGGGAAAGAAGAGTTTCATTCCCAGGACCTCAGAGAGGTAAAGAAGCAAAGCAGTGAGCAGTACATGGCTCTTCAAAAATCAGAACACAGGATGTGGCTCAGTGGTCCAGTGCCCCTGAGTTAAATCCCCAGTAACCACCCCCTCCCCCAAAATTGGAACACAAGGGACATTTTAACTCAGTGGACTGTAATTTGGCTTCCATCTTGAAACAAACTGCTTCATATTTCATGAACAATTTCACAAAGTTTCACTATGATCAGGAGACATTTGAAGGAAGGAATTCCAGTTTATTTGAAATAAAAACATGGGTTCCTAGTCATTGAGGAGAATTTTTGGAAAATAGGGCTCTCAGGAGAAAGGCAGTGCATGGTTTGCACTCCATAATACACAAAAGTGATACCAAACTTTTCTGCCAAAAACATGACCACAAAGACTGTAAAGGCAAACAGCTCTGCTCCTGCCTCTAATAACATATATTCAGAAATGTACAATTCTTTTTCTTCCAATCCTCTAGATTTGGAAAGTTTTGACCTGCCCAAAGTGCACCAGATTACACACCTTCCCTTGTTTGCAGTGCCTCTTATGATTCTCAATGTGGAGAGAGAATTTGAAAAGCTATTACAACTGGGTCACCCTTCACTTATAAAGATGCTTTTATCACCATGGAAATCTAATCTGTTGCAATTTCTTTCAAGCATTCTGTTGACTCTGGATGTTGAGTTGCCAATTTAAATTTTTTAGTGCTTTATAGTTTGTGTTTGTATGTATTAATAAAGTATTTCCTTATTTAACAGAAATAAAGAGAGATGAGGAAGTTGCAGTGCAGAGGCCCCACGTATTATGAGGCAAGAGAGCCCAAGGCTCAAGAAATAATTTAGCAAATACTGGGACAATAATCTCTCCCCACCCTGTCCCAAGTTTAGACAATCAATTGAATTAATCAGACTCTCTTTCTGAAATGTGAATGGGAGGGATCAATTCTTCACACCTTAGTGTGAATCTTTTCAACCTGTCACTATCTTGACAGAGGTTTCTGCATTGTTTTTGGTCCAGACTCCATAGGGGTTGAAGAGAGATGTTGAAGAGGGAAAGAGCCACAAGAAAAACAGGAGGACAAAATGTAACCTGGGAAACCATGCTAAAGAAAGAATGCAGGGATTTGGGGTAGAGACAGAGGTCGGGAGAACAAATAGGGATGTGAAACAAAGGACTTCTCTCCCCATTGTTTCTGAGGAAGTGGCCTAGAAGGTCACTAATAGAAAAGTTCCTCTAATTTTAAATACATCCTGGGGCTGACCATGTTGGTCATAATGTCAGAAAAGGGAGCAATTGCTGTTGTCAACTAGGGAACAAACACAAGATACCAACACTGCTTTCCCTAGAATTAAAGGAATGAGCCTGATTCCCTGTGCGGCCACCTGGAACCATCACCTGCTCTAGTTACTGACCTGTTAGCTCCCTAGTTTACCCTCATTTTACAATCACATGGCCTTTTTGCCCCAACTTGCCCCAGGCCACTTAGATATTGTCCTAGGATGTTTCATCAAATCCTAGAAATCAAATTCAAAAATGACTAGAAACTCCCAATACAGTAATTTCTTAGTATACTCTGGGGCTTAGTTTTAGAACACCCCATAGATACCAAAATCCATGGATGCTAAAGCCTCTTATGTAAAATGGCTTAGTATTTGCATATAGCCTTATGTGCATCCTCCCATATACTTTAAATCATCTTTAGATGACTTATAATACTTAATACAGTGTAAATTCTACATAATTAGTTTGTTATACTATCTGTACATGTTCAGAACAGATAAACTTTTTTTTTCAAATATTTTTGATCTGAGGTTGGTTGCTTGAATCCATGAGTATAAATCAAAGCCAAGTTGGAACAATTATGAAAGAAGTTAGTACTGTGCGTGTGTGTGTGTGTGTGTGTGTGTGTTTATCATGGTCCCTGAAAAGTCACCAAGGGAATGATCATTTGCTAATGTTTCAGTTTGCAGACAGACTCAAAAATAAAGTATTAGAATGATTTGAGAGTAAACACACTTTAGTAAATCCTTTCTTGAAGGATGGAGGAAAAATTAAGGGAAAATGTCCACAAATATAGACAGTTGAGGAAAGAAATAATTGACCAAAGTGTCACTGCTAGATAATCCAAATATATTTTATTACATTTAATAAGCACTTAAAATCAAGTTGCAATTAAAGCTGAAAGATTACCTTTGCCTTTATGTGTACAATAAAGTCAATTTTATTTAGTTATACATTACATTTTGATGGTTAAATTGTTCATATGAAAAGTTGTATTAGCAAGTTATATTAACTATAAAAATGGAAGTTAACTAAAAGGAAGAGAAATATGAAATATCAAACATAACTAAACATAGAAATTATACAAAAGGTAACTGATTTAATAATATATTTTATGTCAACTTGGTTAACATATCCCATTAAATGGTCTGGTGTTACAATCCTAAAATTTCATAATTTTAAGAGCTAAGGGCAGAAACAAAAATTCACATATAGTATATACTTACAAAAAATAGAAAAGAAATAATATCAAAGAAAAAAAGATTATTCATACTTTAATTACTAATTTGTTCTTACAACATAACCTAACTGAATTTAGTCTAACTTAACCTAATTTCATCTATAACTGAATGCCTTATGTATTCCAACTACAACCATTCTTCACAAGACAATATAATGCATGATTATTTTTAGAACTTTAGATCATGAGGAAAAATTAACACCAGTTTTGAGAATTCATTTTTACTATTGTTCTATTGTTTAAGCATTTTTTCAATTAGTTCTTAACCCAAGCACGGATTCAGCAATTTTTAAAGTTACTTTAAAATCTTAGTATTTTTAGATCTACATATCATCAGAAAAAAAAAAAGGTTAACAGGTTTCAAGAATTCACTTATTGTTCTAAATTTTTTATTTTTTCATTATTGTTTACTTTTCATTGCTTTATGGTTTTTATTTTTTTTTTACCATTCCTTGGCACAAGTTCAGCAAATTACAAGATGCATTGTTACTGGAAGTTCTACTTTGAAATTCTTAGCATTTTTAAGTCACTATATCATCTACATATTTTTAAACTGATTAATGTACATTTTTAAAATATTTTTCTTATTTTTCAAGGTTTTAGAAATGTTGAAAAGTTTTGTTATTTTTTATATATGTGTGTGAGAGTTTTTAATTTCCGTTGCATCTGACTTAAGCACAAATGTAGCACCTTTCGAGCTATTTTTTTACTTAAAAGTATTAAAACTTATTACAATCACTCTTCATCCAAAAATAGCAAGATTTTAAGGATATTTTAGTTTTTGATATTTGAATTATAAAAATGGTTATTTCTTTTGATAGATTTTTAAACATTGTTTTAATTGCTCCTAAACTGGGTGCCTGTTTAGGGGCTTTCTAGGTGCATTTTGAACCAAAGTATCACAAGAAAGTTTCAGTACTTTTAAAATTTTACAGATGCTCAAAAACAGTGCAGGTTCTAAATTTTTTTCTGTGTTTGTTTTGCTTGTTCTAATATTTTTTAGTCTTATGTCAGTTTTTTTTTCCTGTTTATTCCTGATCAAGGCAAAAACTTAACAGATTTTTAGTTGAATTTTGATAAAAAAAATCCATACAAATAACCTATTTTTAAATTTACAGTGATTCAAAAATATATAAAACAGTAACACAAATGTTAGGAACTATTTTCGTGGGGTTTTTTTGTCTTTTTTTTTATTTTGTGCTTTTTTTCTTTTTTTGTTTTTTGTTTTTATTTAGTTTATATACATTTTTTTTTCAATTTGCTCCCAACCTGGGCACAAACTCAGTAGCTCCCTGGCTACACTGTGCTCCAAAATTTAATAGGAAAGCAATAAGTATTTTAAAGTTACAGGTCCCTACCACCTCCCACCCCCAAATAACTGCAAATATACAATTTTTTTGTTATTATTGTTATTATTTTCTCATTTTTTTTCAATTCGCTCCCGACCTGGGCACAACTGCAACAGCTTTTTGGTTGCATTGTGCCCCAAAATTTCATATGGATTATGTATAACTAATTAAAACAAATAAAAAAATTAAAACAAATTCATATGGAGAATAAATATTTTATACAACTCAGACCCTCAAAAGAAAGGTAATTATAAGTATTAAGAAAAAAATGTTAGTGTTGCTTAGGTTTTCTTTATTGATGTTTCGTTGTTTTTTTTTTTTTTTTCTATGTGATTTTCCATTTTGCACCTGCCAGGCACATAGGTAGCAGCTTTCTGGCTTAGAATTTTCATACAAAAATCTTTATGTAGTATAAAAAGAAAAGTTTTAAAAATTGACACTGTTTGTGATTATAAATGTGTAAATTTTGTTAATTTTCTAATTCTCCCCAACCATATACATGAAAATACTTTTTCTTTTCTGTTTTCAAAATTATCAAATACAAATTTAGCATAATTTAACAAAATTAGCATAATAATTTTTACCAATTCTTTAAAATTGGACACATTTCTTATTAATAATATTAGGATAAGATACGTTCTTGTGTTAAAATAAATTGAATGACAATTCAAACAAGAAGAAAAAGATTAGCATATATCAGTAGTAATATAACCTTTTTTTAAATAATCCCTGAATTTGTTCTATATTTATAGGCCCAACCCAATTACCAAAATCAATGGAATGGAAATAGGTTTTTAGAAGTTTAAAGTAATCTGTGTATCACTAAAGTGAAGGCCACTGGCCACTTACATAACATGATACCATGAAATTCCAACCCAGCAGAAGAGTCTGGTGATCTGTTTCAGTTGTTGTAATTAGACTTGACCTATAATTACTGAACAAAACAGCATATTACATTAAATGTTCAAACAAATGCATCTGACTGTATTTGGTACACTGATCTATACTCAGTATCATTAGCTTCAAAATCTTAGCATAAAAAAAATCATAGGAGAAACTGTATCTGGACCAGAAGACAATTCTTGTACCTAGAAAGTAGATTCTAGCATTAATTCACCGCCATTATTGGTTGTTTGATCACTAACTTCCTCTTGAATAGCTGGAAGGGAAGGCTTTGTGGTTAGAGGTGTTTCAGTCTTAAACAGGGACTCCATCCTGATATGGGTATTGATGTAGAAGGACTTCTGAAAGGACTCAAGAGTGAAATAATAGATGAAAGGGTCAAAGCAACAGTTCAGAGTTGCAAGGCACAAGGTAATTGGATACATTATCTTTGCAAACCTTTCCAACAAGCAATTGGTAATAGCTTGGGAGCGCACCAGGGCATACAGGAAGAGAACAGAATTATAGGGTACAAAGCATACCACAAAGACTGCCATATGCACTGTGATCATCTTCAGCACTTTTTTCTTATTGGTCCCAATTTGAGACAAAGTAGCAGGCTTGCGGAGGGTTCTTAGCACCACAGAAGAACAAGTGACATTCAGTATCAGAGGAATGATAAACCCCACAACTTCAATAAATATTGTGATCTTGGACAGATAAGTCTTCCAGACCCTTTTGGAGAAGCCCTCAAAGCAGGTGGTGGTTGCATTGTTGACATTCGTGGTGGAGAACAAAGATGCTGAAATACCACCACTGAGGACCAGAATCCAGACACCAGCACACACAATGGCAGAATTCCTCCTGGTCCTAATGGTACGAGATCGGAAGGGATAGACAATAGCCAGAAAACGATCCACACTAATACAGGTAAGAAAGAGCATGCTCCCATAGATATTGGTGAGAAATGCAGTCCCAGAGATCTTGCAGAGAGTGTCACCAAAAGGCCAGTGCCGGTTGAAGTTGTAAAATATTTTGAAGGGTAGGGTACAGACAAAAAGCAAATCAGAGAGGGCCAGATTAGTGATGAAAATAGCGGTCTCACTTCTCATTTTCATGCGAAAGCAGAAGACAAACAGAGAAGCACTGTTGGTTATCAGACCCAGGATGAATACAACACTGTAGACAGCACCATTCAGATTATATTTGAAGGAATCATCAACAATGCAAGTATTATTGGTAGTAGCATTGCCCAACCTGGGTCTGAGGCTTGAATTTAAATCTTGGAATTGGAAGTCAATGAATCTTCTGTCACCCATGGATTTTTTTCAGAAGGCCTGCTAGCTGCAGGGGTTCACCACTCTGAGACTAGGGACTGGTAGGAAATACTTTCCTCCTGTGGGAGACAAGATGGAATGAATCAGCAAATCTGCCTTCCAGAAAGTAAAATATATATGATCTACCCAGGTTGAAAGATAACATGCACGTTCAATTGAGTTTGGCAAGTACTTTTGAGAACCTACCATACATTAAAAGTAATACAAGAGTATGTTGCAGAAGTGGGAGAGATCAAACTCAACAAGTAGGTGCAATAGTTTGGCACTGCGATGAAGGGGGGAGGACGGGACGGGACAACATCTAACAACTAAAGCAATGCAAATGCTTTGATATTTGCATGGCACTTTTCAATTTTTAAAATCCTGTCAAAAGCCATGCTTTATTTGATTTCCAAAAGAATACCATAAGGTAGGCATGAGTGAAATTCTCACCATTTTACAAAGTAGAAATTGAGGCTTAAATAATTTTAAAATTATAGAATATGAGAAATGGAAGAGGGTATAAGTGGTATGGCCAGAACCAGATTCAGTTTATTTTATTCCTAACCCAAGGACTTTTAAGCTACTCCAAATGTCTACTCTCCAGTGTTACTGAAACACCTTATCTGAGTATTAGTTCTATTGTAGATGGTTATAGGACCTCCAGAACACTCTCTAAAATGTCATGACTAAACTCCTGAACTAGATAACTGGTTCATCTTTTTCTTCTAAATTAGGAGTTAAGGAATCCCTCAGTTAATTAGAGCTGCTAGCCAAATTTTTTTTCACTATACCACACTGCCTTTATAAGGAGACAATTCGAATAACAAACTCAACACTTCTATCCTGCAGGTCATGGTCCTCTTTCCAAGTTTCTCTCATGCTAGACCCTAAGCCTATGTTGTCTTCCTTTTCCGTTTATCAAGGCTCATTCCATCAGATACTTCCACAACTCCACCTACTAAATCTCCCTGATCAATAAAGCCTTTGCTTGCCAAGTAGAAGTGATGAGAGATGGATTTTATATGAACAGCCACCCCTCAAGACTCACGTCTGATCTGTCCCCTTATATGTTTTCTGCCTGCCTGTTTGTACATGTGACAGCTAGTGATTTAATCTATTTTTTTTTATTATCTAGGCAGACATTTTTTGAAGGTACATTTAGAAATATTACCAATGTTCTCCTAGGTCAACAGCTGCCACTGGAGAGAGACTGTCCTTTGAAAGTGCTCTAAAATACACTATAGATAAATAGCTGCTGAATGAATTCTTTTGAATGAGAAGGACATGGAATAAAAGTGGCCTTTATTCCCTAACATATCCAGTAATGAGATTTCACATGATTTTATTCTAAAATGTAAGAGGCAGTTTTCTGAAATGATTTCCCCTTATGTCATTTTTTCCCTCAGAATTCTCAGGAAACAGATCAAAGGACCTCAGTATAAAATAGAGAAGGGAGTAAAGGGAGTAACCTGTGAAAGATGCAGAGGTCTGAAATCACCTAAACCAGTGTTTGGCTTAAGAAAAGAAATATTTGGTTTGAGGGGAAAAATATTTATTTACTGCAGTGCACAGAGGGAGAGATGATGTTGGAAAATATGGGGTATAAAGCAAAGGGTTGTCATTTTTAATAGTTTTCAAGTTAAAATTGGAAGTTTGCTATCCTTGATTTATCATTCAACAAATGTTTATGGACTACCTCCCCTAAGCCTAACCCTGAACTAAAATCACAGTCCTTCTTGGCTATTTTATTGTATATGCCCAGCTCAACTGTTGTTAGAAGTGCCCTAATATGCAAAAGCAAAGTACCATAGAAACCTTGACCATGTAAGGTCTACAAAAAAAAAAAAAAAAAAAGAGCCAGATAAGGAAGATATAAAATCAAGTGGGAGGATAGGAGAGGAGATGGAAAGGAAAATAGCAAAGAAAGAAAAACTAGAGAATTGATAAAAAAAAAAAGAGGGGAAGAGGAAGTAAAGAAGAGAGAAGCTTGTGAGAGGTAAGTGCTGCTGTCTAATTATATCTAATTTGCATTCAGTCCTGGGAGGGATAACCAGCTCAGAGTTCCTACAGTCCCATTCTGGCTAACTTGCTTTATCTTATTACCTCCAGATTTCTCTGATAGAAGCATGGTTTGCAATCAATGAGTTTAAGGTCACTGAAGCTGATCAGCAGAAACAAGAGCCTGGAAGATCTCAATCAGTGATGATCATATCACACTTTGGAAGCCGTAGACCCAAGGTTTTTGCAGCTTATGTGTTTCATCATGGAGTGGTTTAAGAAAAAAGGAAATACCAAACTTCTCAACTGCTTAATCCATTTTCTTTACTATTTTTAACACCTCACTCACTGTCCATTAACCCAGAAGTCTTTTTTTTTTGTAAACTAAGATGATCATCCACATTCAAAATGAATAATTTCATTGCTGAAAGAAATCAAAACAGTCAAGGAAATATCCATTTTACATAGCCACACAATCTAAAGAAATCATGGGGCTACAAAACCCTTAACATAAAAGCCTGGCTTTTTTCACTGGGATCTGCTTGCACCTACCTTCTACACTAAGTACTGCTAGTAAGTTTATTTTATTTGTAAAATTCTTTCATAGTAGAAGCCTTTTCACCTCTGCCCAGAGTTCTTCCAGTCTGTCCACTGGTAAATCATGGGACATGTTGCTATGTCACTGGCTATATATTATTTTGTACTTTTTAAGATGTAATGTTCCAAATAGGTGCATTTGTCTCTTGTTTTTCATCCATTTCTTTTCATAATTTCAATCATTTTATTCTTTATCTTAATTGACAAATCATAATTATATTACATGTGTGGAGTATAATGTGATGTTTTAATATACGTATACAATGCAGACTATTAAATCAAGCTAATTAACACATCCATTACCTTATTTCAGTTTTATATCCCCCAGAACATATGCACCATACCCACAGCAGGCAGTATGTTAATGCCTGGCACTTCTTCTCTGCTGCTCTGAGTAATCAAATCCTGTGGGAGAGGAAAGGACCACAGACAAGAAAGCTGTACAGTCTCACTCCTAAAGAGAGGGCATGGGAAAACTGCCTCTATGGCCCTATTCATAGCTCTCCTTTGCCTGAACACACACCACCTTTGCTGTCTAGCAGGGAGGGTGTGGTGCTAGGACTTAACACAGCATTGGAAGCAAGGAGTTCTATTTCTGACTCAGACACTGGTTCACTCTGTAACTTGGCTATACTGTTTCTCTTCCCTGTATAAACATTACCTCTGAGCCTCACAGCTGAGGCTAGGAAGATTCAACAGTGCTTGTGAGTAGCTTTATGAGCTTGCCAATATTCAATCTTACCTAACCACAGAGAAACATTATAGAAGCTGTTTCCTTCTCCCACCTCTGACACAACTGGAAATTTATATCTGAGTATTTCTTGGTACTCTGAACTTCATATTAGCAACACATCTTTTTCTTGATGTCTTATACCTCAGAAATTCCCCCCTTGAGTTCCAACCTTAACACAATGAACTCATAACAAAGCAATTCAGGAAGAGACTTCCAATGGAATATCTCTCCTAGAGCTATAATTTTAAATAATAATCAGAGAAATATTTGGCTCTTGAGCTGATTCCAAAGGAGAATCAATGATGTCCAAAAAACAAGGTCTTTTCTCCCTGATTGGCTTTTCTTTAGGCTAAAAGAAACAGTATTTCTAACTACTAGATCTTCCTGAAGGGATAATGTATTGAGTAGTGAATGGAGGTAAAGAGCCCACACTTGAGCGTCTGATGAGATGAAGAAAGGAAAAAAATTTAGGCCGACACAGTTAATTACATCTTCCACTACAAGCAGCATCAGACTATTGTATTGTGCAGATGTTTGGAGCCAATTATTCCAACAATTAATAACCTAGGGGATAAGCATTAGGTAGGTGTATTTTCATTGACAATGGACAGGATGTAGGTCACCTGGAGGTTGATCAAAAAGTCATTGACCCTCAATGAATTTTTAACTTTGACCTACACATATGGAGCCAATTCTCACAGTTCATTGTAGTATCATTTTTTCTGGTTTCTAATGATAATGAATTATATCATGTTTGGTGTCTTTGAGGCTCCTGGAGGAAATGGTTAGGCTTTTGTCCATATAAGGACCAGTGTGCCGAGAGCCATTGCCAAGTAGGAATGACACATGGCAATTTCTTTGTCAGCCTACTCCATGTTGCTTAGAGGAAGGACTCTCCATTGTGGAAATGGGCTTGCCTTTGGACCCAGGTCATTTGCAGTGACATTGCATGTATGCTTGAGTAAGGTGACCTTGCTCAAGGACCAGGGCACATCCAGGTTTAGGGTATATCCTGCTGGGATTAGGGAGTATCCCGCTCCTTGGGTTTAGGGCGGTTCCAGGTTTAAGGTGTACCCTGCTGGGAATAGGGGGTATCCTGCAGCCTCAAGCACCCACCTGCTCCTTGAGTTCCCGTTGAGTTCTCGCCGGATTCAGAAAGTATTTGGGATTCAGAGCCTGGTGGAGTATGTGAATTTTGCCCAGAACGTGGATTTCCCCAGAACGTGTGTAGAGTGCCGGTGTGAGTTCGAGAATAAAGAATTGCTGTTTGAATCTACAAGGCTGTGAGTGGCTGGTGATTTTGTGCCCAGCCAGACTTCGACACCAGTGAATACTTAAGTCACTTCACAAAGTGCTAACCTTTCAGATGATACATTGGAAACAAAGTTCTAACTCAGAGAAAGCTGAAACCTACTGTGTCCTTGCCTATAGATACTTATCAGTAAGACAAATTTAAAAATACAAAAATGTTGTTAAAATACAGCTCAAAATCATTCTCCTGGAGCAACAGGGAATATATCCAGATTGTTGTTCCTCATATGAATGGCTGATAACAGATAAGATTTCTAAAGTAAATTTTCTATGCCAAGTCACAGGCACAGGTCACAATCATACATGTGGTTCCAATTGACGTTCCAATGCATTGGTTGATGTTTCATAATAGTTTTCAAACACAATCTAGGCTTGCGAAATTCCATATGGAGGAAACAATAGGTAAATGTTTCACTCCAGAATGGAGCAAGGAAATTCTTTTGCACTGGCCTCTTATTTTTGAAGCAAGAAATACCAGTTTTAAAGTAATTTGTCTGTATTGAACTTTGTTTTCACCAAAATTAAAGGCTGATTTTTCCCCATTTTATTTAAGGAGAGCAAGAAATTGACAGAGGCTCCAATCTAATCAGATCCTATCTTTAGTGACCAACTTAATACTTTTTTCTTTTCTCCCCCAAAGTACTCCAGTCTTCTACTAACCCTTCACCTGATGACACAGTCCAATCTTTGGGGAATAATGTGGTCCAGTGCTCAATATGATGGGGCCAAAGATTACATCAGACCTACTAATGTAGAATTTTCTCTTGTACTTAGTTATAGAGTAAGAAAACTGCAGAGAAATTGCTCAACTTAGTGTTATGAAATTGTTTAGAGTCTTGAGACTCAATATCTCATCTCATCAGAAGCCCCAGACCTTTTGGGAAAGATTTTGGGTGTTCCTAAAACAGCTCATTTCCAAATTCTGAAAGATTCACACATGCCAGTTAGGACTCAGTTTCATTCCATATATCTGAACAGACAAATCAGTAATCAATTCGAACAGCAATTCATCTGATACACTTGAATATTCATCCTGATAATATGAATTAAAAAGGTCTCCCATCTATAAAGTTATGTATCAATGACAAAGAAGGGTTGAGCTAAAGAATGAATATTCATCTACAGCAGAATTGCCTGGATTTTACTATAAACAAATATAACTCCTTCTCTATCCATTCTAAATTATTATATCATATGATCTGTAATAATCTGGAAGTATTGGTTACAAAAAGAGTTGGAGAGGTAGAGTGCTTGCCTCACATGTGTGAGGCACTGGGTTTGATTCTCAGCACCACATGTAAATAAATGAATAAAATAAAGGTTCATCAACAATTAAAGATTTTTTTAAAAAAAAGAGTTCGAGAATAAAATAAGTATTTGTGTAGAAAATTAATACTAGGAAAATGGTACTCACCACATTAGTTTAAATTCTGGCAGCAATTTTATCTCAGATATGAGTACTCAATAAACTTTCTGGAGGCACTGTAGTTAGGAATTTCCTCCAACAGGTGCTGTGAAATAGAATTTGTTACAATAGTGTACCATAAGAGAGCTTATCAGTAAAATATATACAAAGATCACAAGGTAGACAAAATTATTACATTACATAAATCATAGTAAATGAGAGTCAACATATTTTAAAATAGTATTTAACAATTTTAGATAATGTTTTATTTTCCAAAACTGTCATTGCTGTCCCATATTTTAAGAGTGAAGCACAAAACCCATGAATCTATATAACTTATAATCATCTAAAAGATAACTAGGACCAAAAGGCATAAAAATATCCCTCCCCACTTCCATACATTAAAGATGACCAACAAAAGAACTTTTTTTGGTCTGAAGTTATATCAGTTTTTTATTTTTCTCGTCTCTCTCCCTTTTTCTCTGGCAACAACTGTTTTGGTTGGGCAGGCGCCTTAATGGAGGCAAAGAAAGAACACTGGAACAACAGGTGGAGACTCCACTGCCTTTTCTCTAACCTACATTCACACCCGATTTCTTTACTTCCTGACCTGAACTATACTGATATGAGAGAGGCTTCAACTACTGGCTATTAGCACAATCATTGATAATCACTCTGCCTTTACCAGTGTATCCTAGGCCTATACATCATAGCATTCTGTAACACCTTTAAATTACAAATCTACAAAATACACATATAGAATCAGAATATATAATGGGATTCTTAAAGGTAGCATTTAGACCTCATAGCAATGCTTATAAAGTAAAATCATCTGCCAGTGACAGACTCATGATATTGCCACATCTCATTCTCTTCCAAAAATAAAAGGTAGCATAAAACAATGCAGACTGCTAATGATACTCTAATTTTCCTGATATAATATCTCTCTAAAAAAAACAAAATAAATAAAATATTTAGACAATTTAAAATACATTGAAATCACCTTAATATTAAGGAGAATAGTTTTCACACTCCTCCAGAAAGCAGTATTCCTGAAATAAAATGAATATTGTTTTACTGGGGTTTCTGAAATAAAGACAGAAACATTAACATTTCTTTATTTTATGATTTTCATAATTGATATAAAGAAATTTTTAAAATTTGGAAATCCAAGCAAATAGGAATTTCAAACACTCAGATGTTTTCATTTCTGATATTAATTCTATATAGCCACGTTTTGTCCCATAACTAGGTAACTATGGGAGAACACATCACAGTCCCTTTCTGGGCCTCAGTTTCTCTTTGTCTTCCACCTTTGGCCCTGACTGACAGAAGCCTTCAATTGTTGCTATGGTAGAGGCTTCTCTGGTTATCCCCTGCTAGTTATTTTCACCTGCTTCCACTTGTCACTGAAAAAAAAAGAGTTTTAATTCTTGAAAGTCTGTAATGACAATCATTAAATTTTATTAAATGCAATGAAATGACTGCTAGATTTATTTGAATATCAGAAGTAAATATTATTAATTAGCACAAAACATAAGAATCACAGAGCAAGATGCCATTTACACCCTCATGTCTTCCAAATCCCCTTATTTTCCTCACCCTCTGTCCTGCCTATTCAGCAACCATACCAACTCTAATCTTCTAGATCTCAATTCTTGATCCTTTCTATCTGGTAACCTTACCCATCAAAATATGAGATTAACAGCATACTTCAGAACATAACTATACAAAATCAGCAGATTACTTATTCTGTTCATGGTTCTGATAACCAATAAACCTACTAAAAGTGAGGCTGGTTTCTCAACTTCCAATTTCAGTACCAATATTCCCAAATACATTATTTTTTTTCCTTCCCTTGAAAAAGGTCAACAGCAGACCATATATGATGACAGGCAGACAAAAGCAACTGCACAATTAGATTCTGACCAAATCACAGCAAGGGCAACAAATCTCACTGCATTTTCCCTCAAAGGGGATTGAATAGATCAAGCTTTAGCTAAGCTGGGCCTGGGTGTTGCTTTGAGGCATCTCCCCATTCCTGTCTTTAACTTACAGAGAGTACACATTCTGAAAGGCTGGCCTGATTGTTCCAATAGGGCTTTCATTCACATCTCTGATTGGCAGGAGGTGCTTTAGAATGTAGAGGATATCAGGTTTATCAACTGAACTCATCCTTTATAGAAAGAGTGCAACTTTTCTTCTGCGACAATGCAAAGGGATTTATAATCAATTTTGGTGGGTATATTGTTTGGAATTTTGTTCTGAAAAATGAACAAGTTGCAAAGCCACTGGATAAATTTGTTTGGATAGTAGGTTATTATTGTTGTCTCCATATTAGTCAAGAAAAAAAAATGGTGGTTTAATTTGGTAAAGTAGCAAAATGAATAACCCCACCAAGCTCTGTAATGTTCTAAACTTTGGATTTGTCTGGTCATTTTTCATACAGAAATCATGATAAATTACATTATTATATTTTCTGAAACAAACTGAACAAAATACAATACTTATCAATTCAATAAGATCTTTTTACTAAAAATCTTAAAAACATTCAGGATATACAGGAAGAGAATTTTAAAGATGTCACAATGTTGCATTTTATGGCAAAAGCAAAAACTTTCACATTAATAGTGAATTCTATTTATGCCAGAATTAGTTTCTCATTCAAACATGATTCTTCCTTTATGGGCAAATTCATGAATTATTCAATATAGCAAATGTCACATTCTCCATAAATCAATTAAGCATCAAAGGCATGTCGTGTATAGTTTTACTAGAAAAAAACCTCATCATAATAGAAGCCACATTAGCTCACAATCAATTGTAAACCAAAGAAATACAAAGCTAGCCAAAATTGTTCTACCCTGTGATTAAAAATCAGCTCTTTAGGACAACTGTGTTTACATGAAACAACAGCCTGAAAATCCTGTCTCTTCCACGGAAACAATATTATTGCCAAAACAATAGAAATTCTTGTTTTTGTTTTTGTTTTTTTACCATTCAACACGACGATCCTTGTTCAGCACTTCAGAGTTGAAGTCTAACTTCTTTCCCAAAACACTCAAAGCATCAGTGTTTCCACTGAAGTTTGTTACGCCATCCCCCACCCCCAAACGCCCAAATCAAATCTTTCTCAAAGAGACTTACCCCAAAAAAGAGTGTGCTAGATGAGAGAGTGTGCTCATGCCTGTAGACAATTAGCTAATAAACATGTAAACGGGCAACTCGCACTTTGGAAGTGCATATTTTTATCCATTATTTTTTTTTTACAGGGAAAGGTTAGCCCAGCCCAAAGTAGCAGACTCTGGGCTGCCGCAGCTTACAGTAAACCGCTCATTCTGAAAATGTGAGCTTATTTACATTTATCTCTTTCCCTTTGTTAAGAACCGGCCCTCTTTAATGCTGTAGCCGGCATGCCTTTAACAAACAGGACACAAGAAAAGGCCCAAAGTCCGGGCTGGAGCCCAGGGCCGGGGGAACTCTTGGGGGTCTCAATAGGAAATGCTTTTCATTGGATAAGGAGGCATTATTAGGAGCCGAGATCCCGCCCAATCCCCTGTGCTCCACCGTTCCCTTAGTCACCAATCACTGGACTGAAGAAGTTTTTCCTTAAAGAGCATTGCCCAGGAAAAGCAGTTTCACAGTCAAGAATTAGTGGCTTAAGTGCCACTTGACAATATAAAAAGTGTCTTTCCTGACCAATTAATCCACAGAGAAAGCCTGTGTGCCTGTCTTTGCTGCAGGACCGCTACCCCCTTACAATTCTAATGAGGAGGAGGAGACAAAACTTCAAACTGGGAGGAGTGTTTCAATTATGAGAAACCCATGTTTGCTTTTATTTGTTTGAAATAATTACAACAATATTGATAATAATAAATAGGGGGCAGGGAAAAGGCAAAAGTGAAAGGGACCATAAATATATTCTTACTATATTATGCAAAATTAAATCTCCCACCACCACAAAAAAAATCCATAAAATTCAGTATTATACTCACTTGCTCAAGCCAGCGAAGTATCCTCAGATAGAGATGTGTTGGGGTCCCAGAGCTCCAACACCCACCTTCTATGGGCCAGGAAGCCGTCTGTGGCAAAAGGAGGGTCTACACTTCTTTTAAATAACTGCTTGGCAGGAAGACTAATTACCATGAAATTTTCAGAGGTTTTCAAAAAAAAAAAAAAAAAAACCAAACTAAATAGTACAGATGCAATCTGTTTATAATGAGGAGTTATTGACAACTGTATACCTCCTCTCCCCTTGGCAAGTTATTTGCCTATAGGTTGACTGCCTTGGTCACCCACACTCCTTTTTTTTTCTTCTTTTTCCCCACCCTCTCCCTGACCTAAACTCAATCATATATCTGTAGACTTCTTTTCTAGCCTTTCCCTTCCACTTACATGCCCCCCTCCCATCTTTTCCTCCTCTACCTCCACCCACTGCCAAGACTACGACAACAGCAATCCCTCCCCCTTCTCTGGAATGAAACCTTTGGCCAAGGATAAGGTGCTTTCATTTTCTGGGCAGAGTCATGTCCCTGGAGAATTGGGGTAACCTCTGTCTGCTTCATAACTTCAGTCTGCATAATTAAGCTGATTCCCAAATAAAACATGTTTCGCATTTGTTTATTCTCCCTCTTTCTTCAGCTCTATTGTAGCTGTTCTCACTAACAGGTCAGTGTGAAGCTGACACTAGCCTTATTACTTGTGACTGACTCTGAAAAACACTTTCTCTGTTGCCTCCCCTCCTCCACCCCATACTCTCAGTCTCTGTTCTTTCTGCTTCCCTCTCTGCTTATCTCAGGTATATCTATTACTGTCACTTACTGATACTGGTTATGTCTTCATGAGTGATCTTTTCACCTATTCTGGGCCTAAACCACCCCTTGATTCATTTGTCAGACCATGAAAGAAAGATACAATCATTGTCCTGCAGAACTTCACCATATAGGTGAAGATACAAAGATGCATGGCACAATGAAATACAAAAAGGCAAATTTTGAAAAATACTAAAGCAGTATTATGAAGAATGAGTTCTATAATGAATCAGAGGATGGAGATGAAGTTGCATAGATAGATAGAGACTGGACAGCTTCTCAGATAAGGTGAAGTTTGAGCTGAACCTTGATGGATAACCCCAAAATGGAAGCAGTTAATGTTCTAAGTGGTTTGATCCAAGTGATCAAATGCAGAATAAAGGAAATGAAAGGAGGTAGAAACGAGATTTGTTTGTGAAGAGAAACGAAAGGTAAGGAGGAAAGCCTTTAGAGGAGAGGTCTGTTGTATCTATTCATTGTACTATACTTGTAGAGTTAACTATAGTCAGCTCACTATCATTTTCCTCTTGGGATTCATATCCTTCAGTCTTCTGATTCGTCTGCCTTCATTTCTCTTGAAGGGACTCAAGTATCTTTCTGATTAATCACCCAAATGACTTCTTAGCATATCTTTAACCATGTCATTGTGTCACAGGTCTTTCCAGCATCACTCTTCCTCTTTCTATCTGATCTTCAATATTATTGACCATCTTTCTTCTCCTAGAATGAAATAACCCCTCATACAGAACATTCTTAGATGTTGTTTCTGCTGCCTGAAATATGCTTTTCCTCCATAATATCCTTTATCATTAGTTGAATTTTTATTCCTTTAGATCCTATTCCAGTATTCATGCCTTCAGGAAACTTATTTTTAACCCGAATTTAGATCATACCATGGAAATTTCTTATGGCATCATAGAAATTTTCTTCATTGCATTTATCACAGGTATAATTTCACATGCTCTTTTATAATTTCTTTGTGTGTCACTGATCATCATTGTTTATCTCTACTAACTGGAAGCTCCAAGAGGACAGAATTCACATCTCCTAACTCTAACTCTAAATTGATATTAGTGGTGTTCACAAAAATTCTTCTGCCTGGCATTTTTTTCTTGCCTAAATTAACACAGTGGTTTTTTTTTTGTTGTTGTTGTTATTTTTGTTTTTTGTTTTTAGAGGGGTTGTTACTTTCCAGCTGAAAACACATTTCATAGACATGCAAAAAAATCAATATCAAGGTGTTTTATAGGCCAAATAGAGCACACACAAAGAAAAAAATAGTCCCATTGACAAGAAAGTACTAAAGCTGATCCACTACCATTCCCTTTTCTCCTCACTTCACTCCTTTTTTCCAGCATTCTAGTTTTGCTTGCTCTAATATTTGTAAGGTACACAGGGCAAAATGAAAGCTTTTCCAGGTTGTCCTCCAAACAGCCAGTTTATAGCTACACAACTTAATCCAAAACATCCTTTCTAAAAAGCCTTCATTGAGTTGCTGATGTCTGTACCACTGGGGGTGGGATGAATATTCAGCTGAAAAAATGCATTCAGAACTATCTGGGGGAGTATGCATTTCATTTTTATCTGTTTGAAAAGAAAGTAACTGAAATATGACTAACTTCCAACTGGGAATTCACACACTTGAATAAGAACAGCCAGATGCTTGGGACCTTCACACTCCAAACCCAAATCAATTTTTTCTTTCTGCCAACAATATCAAAGGACTGGGTAAATTCACCCTAACTGCCAGCAGCTCAACACTACACTAGTTTCCCTAGAAACAGTACAAACTTAACCAAAGGATTTTAACTATGCCTATGGATTAGAGTCCAACTAACAGTTTTGTAACTCTCACGATCTCTAAAGGAACACTGTGCCTGTATAAATTGGGCAGTTCTAGGGAAGGGGAGCCAATTAAGTACTATCTTTGCATTAATTAGCAGATGCATTGAAGCCTTTCAGAAAACAAAGAACCTATAGGCTTCCCTTTTTTATACAGTCCTCTTTTGCTTCAAGAGGAGGAAGGGATCACAGGGTCAGGTTCCCAACCACTTTATTTAGGATACTACATCTCTGAAAGAACAGAAAAAACGTGTTTTCAAGCACAATCTCTGGAAGATTTTGTTCATTCTTCACATGGGAGTACCTTCACTTCTTAGCTATTTCTCAAACAACTGGACTTTCCTTTTCAACAACTGAATAGGCTCAGATAATAACAAGTTCCCATTGCTTAGAGACAGAGTTGGTAGTTAGAGAAAATGAACTTTTTAACCAAAAAGCTTTGGAAAGAGTTCTGAAACCTTGAGTACTTGGTGTAAATTTAAAACATTTCAGGTTATAATAATAATGTTGATAACAACAGAGAAAATTTTCTGAGCAATATATATAGGAAGCAATATTCTAAGTGTTTAACCTGTACTTATTTACTAAATCTCCATAACTCCATGATGTAGTTACTATTATTCCTATTTTATATTTGTAAAAATCAGGCACAGAGAGCTTAAGTAACCTACTCAAACTCACATAGCTAGCAATTACTATATTGAGTCTGATAATTTCTGAACTAATAATCATAATCACATCTTCTGTTGCTAGAGTATTCAGAACTCCATGCAAATCATCTTGTTTATGAGCAAATATAAGGATTATACCTTTTGTAAAACAATCTGCTCACTAGAAATTAATAAATCTCACAAATAGAATGTGTGTCTTTTAACCTATTCAAAGGTATGAAAATCTCTGGATCAATTAATATATGACCAAAAGTTATAAGCTGACTCTCAAACACCTGGGGGGAAAGTGATTTACCTAAGACAACAATATTAATAAATAGCACAACCAAATCAAAATACAAGTGTTTGAGAATTATGTTATTATACATCTAAAGTCAATTTTGATAAGTTAAGATATTTATTGGAAACTCATGAGCAACAACTAAAAGAAAATCTGTTAAAAGTATAGTTAAAAATCCTTAAAGAATGAAAACTCTTCCTACAAAATGGTCACTCGAGACAATGAGAGGAGCACAGGACAAAAGTACTCATGAAATATGTACAAACTAAAAAGCAGAATGGCATGCAAATAATAATAATAATAATAATAATAATAATAATAATAATAACATTAACTATAACTGATAGTACAATTGAACCAAAAGGTACAAATTGTAAGACTGATTTTAAAAATAAGATCTGAGGCTGGGGTATATCTCAGTGGCAGAGTGCTTGTCTTGCAAGCAAGCAAAGCACTGGGTTCCAGACTCCCCTCCACACATATATACACACAGAAAACAAAAACAATGAAACAATATCCAACTGTATGCTATCTGTAGACACACAATTTCAATTCAAAGACAACTTTTTCAAATAGACTGAAAGTAAAAAGACATAAAAAATTACCATAAAACAATAACCAAAAACAGGAGTTGGAACCAGGCGTGGTGTCACACACCTATAATTCCAGTGACCCAAGAGGCTGAGGCAGGAGAATTTCAAGTTCAAAGCCAGCCTCATCAACTTAGCAAGGCCCTAAGCCTTTGAGACTCCATCTCAAAATAAAAAATAGAAAAGGGCTAGGGATTGAAAATTATTCAATAATTAAATAAAATACCAGTGAGTCAAAGAATAAATCACAATGGAAAAAACTTTAAAATTAATAAACATGAAAACACAATATATAAAGATTTAAGTAATGTAGCAAAAAAGAGTGCTTTAAGGGAAATTTGTATTGAAAAAAAAAACATTAGGAAAGAATTAAGATCTCAAAACAATGTCCTCTACATTTTTTATCATAAGAAACCAA